TAATAAATAAAAATAAAACTCGTGTTTTACAAATAAACTTACTTATCTTAAAACCTTTAGTGGTCTACTCTTGCTTTTCGCTATCAAAACGTTGCATGTTTTTTTTTAACATAAAAGTCTAGGCACCTAAACGCTGTTCTAAACGATTTTGTAAAAAAAAGCGCGAAAAGCATTTAAAAAAGCACATTTTAACGTTTAAAAAAATAAGGAATTTTTCCCATCTGTAGTTGTGGTACTTTTGCAGATAACAGCCGGGCGCCTGAACCATATCAGGACCCCTATTCAGAACTCTTCGATATTTTAATCGAATCGTTCGATTGGATACCGTTCTCGAATTCAAGGGCGCTGTCAGTTAAACGTTAATAATAATAAAATCGTTTTTTTTTCTCCCAACAAGTACAAGATGTAGTATAGCATGGGACGTATCTTGGGCTTGCGTAGCGAGAGGTACTTTATAAATATAAACGACGATATATCATAATTATAACTTTATACGTGTATTTAATTTCGAAGCTTTGTCCAGAACTCCTAGATGTCTGTTTGACATCAACACTCTATTACTCTTACAATTTTAAATACAAAACCTAAGCTGCCTGTACTACAGTAGGTAATACAATATAAGCGAGACGTTGAGAGACGAGCCCAAATTAGATAAGACCTGTGCTATGAGTCGCCTGGCCTCCAACACCCAATAGATTATAAGAAAAATGAATATCCTTTTAAATACATTTATAAGCCTTTAAAGGCCTAAAATATGGGAATGCATTAATCTTGCGTTAAAACAAATTAACAAAATTGAACAAAATCCAGACTTTATTTAAAATAATAAGAGATTTCCATATTACATTCTTGCTTTGTAGACAATAGGACGTTCGGTAACTTTCACTGTGTTCTGAATAACGTTTGTAGCCTTTGCCGGTCGAGAAGTTCGAGTAATCCTACGGGAGTGACGTCATTTCGGTTCGGTCTCGAATACGATAGTTTGAAGTTCGATTCGGGTGTTGTGAATAAAGATGAAAAGAAATCGTACGGTATCAAATCGAACGATCGATGACTGAGTTATCGAAAGGTTCTAAATCGACCCCCAGCACCGGAAACTAAGTGTTCATAGCTTACATTGGGCACGCAAACTATCTATGGCATAAATACTGATAATTTAAGGTGGTTTGAATTATAAGTACGTTGTTGTAATATCATACGGTCTTTATGTTCCAGAAACAGCAAGAAAAGTCTGCAAGAACATTCTGCGATTGAACAAAACCATCGAAGGCATGTCAGTATATAAAATGTTCCTTGTGGAGCCTGGATTCACAGTGTCGCTAGCAGAATTGGTGTCCACATACGCGATCGTCCTTTTGCAGTTTGCTTCAAATTTAAATTAAGCTTATTATAAACTATCAGACCACGCCGCAACTACTACACTAGTAAACAATTACTTTAATAGCAGCAGAGCTCCTTGTGAAAGAGTTGATCCAGGTTCAGGGTCACCTTACCTATTTCTGCCGCCATGCAATAAACGCTGACACATTACTGAGTTCCGGTTTTGAAGGGTAAGGGTGCTGGTGAAATTACAGGCACATGGCACTTGTCAACTTATGTCTCAGGGTGACGGGCGTAATGGCAGTGCCCCTCAAATCTTTGCGTTTTAAAGCTCTGAGTGGCACTGCAACTATTATGGACAGGCGTGTAGCTTCATCAGACACACGACTTGTTCGTCCCGTTACTAGATATTATAAAAAAAAACTACAATGTGATATGAAAAAGAGCATTGTACGGGTCGATGATGTTATTTTAATTTAAATACATTTTTATAATGCATTAAGAAAATAATATACTGTATTAAATATGTTTAATGCGGAAAACAAAATGGATATGAAAGCAGAAAAACTGTACCGAAGGTTTGGATGGCTAAATTCGTTCTTTAGTGGAAGTAGCTGCAGCTTTCTTATCACCAGAGCTTCTGAGCAAAGAGCAGTTGATGTTAGTTTTTATCTTCATTCAGATTGTGTTAGTATATTTGCAGTAGAAATTTTTGTAATTGTTTATTGAATCTCATTGTATCTGAACGATTTGGCTGTTTTACATTGACTTACAAATAAATGGACGACGGGTCTAATACAAAAACCACGAAAAAAATGTCCCAAGTCAACCTATTTAAACGTAGTGACATGTACAGGAATATGAAAAAGCTAAAACGTTGAATTTAAATTGTAATGTCATCGCAGTATTGTCTAATTTTGCTTGCTTCGCTGTCAGTCGAACAAACGAAGACTAAAGCGTGATTGACGCTCTGTATACGATTTTAACGTCCTATAAGTTCGGACACTTTTTAGCGCGAACCCGACGTCCATATTATAATTTTTATTACCATAGAGTGCTGGCGAGATGTAAATAAATATGTAGTTTTGAGGAATGTATTTTTAATTTGTGTTGTGTTGTAGCAAAATAATTGAAAAAATTATAGTGACCTGCATTTTTTATTTATTTATTTAAAACAAAAGTATGTTAAATAAGTTCCAGTAACACTGCGATACTAAAAAAAATTCAAAAAGCAGCAACACTTAAACGCTAAAATATTCAAAATCATAATTCTAATTGGCTAATTAAATTGCAACAAGAATGACTTTGACATCTGATCTGTCAATATATTTTTATGGCATTGGCCACTGGCCTATTAGCCAAAAAATTACATAAGAATCCGTTCCATTTCGTGGGATTGCGTTCCGTTTTACTTTATACAGTATTAAAAATCCCTAACGATTTTCTGGAAATTGCATGTCAAAAATAATTTGTTGTTAATTCAGACTTTCTAGATTTTGAGACCTCTTTACAAAAAACCAACAATAGCCTGGTTAAATTTTCTATTTAGTTTAGTACCACTAAAGGAACAACTCCTTTATATTATTACGTTTTATATTAGTAGTGGTGATATTTATCAAGCCTGCAAATCATTGACTTACAAATAAATGGACGACGGGTCTAATACAAAAACCACGAAAAAAATGTCCCAAGTCAACCTATTTAAACGTAGTGACATGTAAAGGAATACGAAAAAGCTAAAACGTTGAATTTAAATTGTAATGTCATCGCAGTACTGTCTAATTTTGCTTGCTTTGCTGTCAGTCGAACAAACGAAGACTAAAGCGTGATTGACGCTCTGTATACGATTTTAACGCCCTATAAGTTCGGACACTTTTTAGCGCGGACCCGACGTCCATATAATTGTAAATCAATGCTGCAAATAATTATTTTTAAAATGTCCATAGACAATATTATAACATTTTAAGAGACGGCCATTCTGGGGTCTCACTGAAACCAAACCTTACCAAATGGTTCTCTTCAAAGCCATTTTTATGGTGAAATGGGGATATATCAAACCGACTTAAAACTATTGTGATTGAGCATCCCCACACAAAGTATATTTTCCTGCTCTCACGCCTACTGTGTCCGATCAGCTACATCCGCGAAGGTAGTAGTAGTTAGTAATTATTATTATTATTAAATATAAGTACTTCTTTTTGTAATAATATGTAGGTCACAATGATTTTAAATTCATGCTTTTTTAACGAATAACGCAACGTGTAACACTATGCAATGCCGGGATTAATAAATTGAAACCGTAAAAGGTTCGCCACAGGACAGGTTTAGCCTAGTGTGGGACCACCATTCACAATGCTTTCAGGCATGGCTACACGTTAGCAACGCATATCTTTATTAATGTTACCACATACTTAATGTAAATTTAGCATAAGTCTCTTGTTCTTTTCTCTAAAAATGTTAATACATACATATGTTAAGAATTTTGTTTTTCTTTGTGTTTGTGATGCCAAATAAACATATTTCTAAATGATTATCACTAGTATCAGGTTTCTTACCACGGTACGACTTCTTTTTATTTTCCCGATATTTCGGAATGGTTGCCCGCTCCATGGTCACGGGTTGACATCATTTAGTGAATAACCACGAAAGTCTTAAAATCTATATAAACAGATTCCTATTCTTATATTCTAGACATGTGTATAGATGTGGCTACTTATTGAACCAAATAAATACCGGTTTGGTATTATTATTAGTTTTTGTCACTGACTCGACAAGAAGCGGTATTTTAAAAGAAAAGTAGTTTTTTTTTTTTCAAATTTACAGTAAGAATTTTTTGTCGAACCCATTATATCATCAATACTGGAAAATGCATCTGAAATTATTTATGTCTTTCATTGTGTTTTAGTAGTATAATAATGTGTGTGTGCAGACGTCATGCGTCCACGGCTGCTTGAATCGCGTGAGCGGTTATGAGTCGACACTATCTCAGCTCAAATTTTTCCCATACTGTATCAGTTCTATTGCGCGAGTCAAACGCCAGGGACACTGGTTTTATTACCGATTTTATTTTTTAAGAAGCCATTTAATTTGATGTAACAGCAATCTCATTACAGAGATGTTACCGGTAATATTTAGGACTGTAGTTAAAATTTATGTTGTTAACCGAATTCAAAAAAAGAGGAGGTTCTCAATTCGACTGTATGTTTTTTTTGTATGTATGTTACGCGATAACTCCGGTGTTTGTGAACCGATGATTCTTTTTTTGTCGGAAAGAGGATACCTCCGTAGTAGTACCATTATATTTTGAAGAAAATAATCCATTTCTAAGGATGGCTGTTCACGCATGAACATTCATTTTTATAAATAGCGCCTAAATTTTGTTAGAACGAGCAATTATTTTAATGGTTGTTTTTGCTATTCTCCAATTCGAGGCGTTTTTCTCTCTCAATATACTTTGAGTAGTGAGAACCGATTTTTATTATCTCCTGTGTCAAGTTCCATATAGTGGCGAACTAGAGGATGTATCCGGGTTTGCGCACTTTCCGGTAACCGATTTCATAAAACTTGTCAAATAGATGTAATTCCAAGTAGTTTTGAGGTCAGTTTTTTTAGTACTCTGTACTGAGATTATTGTTAATAAAGACGACTTGTTACATTGAAAAATTTTATTTGGAAAAATTTCAAACAGATGCTTCCTTTAAATCCTTATCTTCATTTTTCTCCTTTTTGGTCCTTAAATCTTGATATATTTCTTCCAAAGTTCTCATTTTCGTTTCTGGGATTACCAGAATAGTATAAAGGGCAGCGAGTAGACATACGATTCCAAAGAAGTAGAAGGAGACGTGAAGACCAATTGCTGTAGCGACTTTTTTGAAGAATAATATTTGCATGAAGGCACATACAGCTGCCGCTGCCATTACTACTCCCATTACTGAGCCGCGGTGCTGGAATTATAATAGGAAAATTTGATGAAAACTAGTTGCTCAGTCTTTGTAAATCTTATTTGAAGGCAAAAGCAAATACAAAGAAAGTTCAAAGTGTCACAAGATTGATAAAATATACGAGGTTCAAGACATTTGTAAAGGCTTCAGCTTCGATTACTTCAGATGTGTGTAGTGTCATTTTTTTTTATTAATAATTTTGGCTTGGATACAAGTCCTTTGGATACAAGTCTTCGTTTAATTATGTTTCTGTAAATATGGCCGCCACAAAGAGGATAAGCAATTTGAGCCGGCGTGCTTGGATTGACTCGGGATTCCTTAGGACGGGCCGATTTTAGTTCGAGATTCGTATAATTTCGCGTTTTAATCTTCGATTAAGGCACAATAACACTATCCTATTCCACTTTAAACTAGATTTCACAAAATAATTGAAAGTCAAAATAAAAACGACACTTTTCCCTCCAAAAGGCCCAGAGCGAATTTGTAAAGTGTCATGGAAAAATGTCCATTTGGAAATAATCATAGTTGTCAGTTCACACCTGTCAAACGTTGAAAATACACAACGAAAACGATGGAGCCATTAAATATTTTTTTTAACTAGGATTTTTTCTAGGAATTTTCCTTTAACTAGCTTTTAGCTACTTAAAGGAAAATTCTTAAAACTTAAAACTTCAAAAGGAAATATCAACGTAGCCTTTTTTGTAATATATTTTTCAAAGTTTTCAGATTCTTTTTTGAAAAATTTCCACTATTTGACATTTTTCAGAAAATTACCCAAAGGTAGTTGTGTTTTGTGTATTAAAAAATATCTTTCATGGAATGTAAATCCTGTAATAAACTTCATTTGTTTATTTTATAGGGTAAGAGATGAGAGATATCTAATAAAAGCAAGGAAAAACAGAAGGGGAATAAATTTGTGAAATTTGTTACTTAATAAACAATCCATAAAGCAAATAATTAAGGAGAAGACAGAGAAGGAAATCAAGATCGATTATAACGTTCAGTAGTTGAGCGTTGAACAAATAAAAGAGAAGATCAAAATGAGCATCCATAAAGCGGACCAGGAGCTAAGCATGGATTGCGAGGAATGGAGGAGGTTACACAGACAAGAGCTTGACTCTTACACAGGATAAACATAATATGTAAAACTAACGCAACCGACAGGTCATTGTGAAACAGCCATAAAAGAAAATATATATTTTGGTAATGGACTAATGAATATAGAGTATTAAAAATAAATTACGTGTGCAAATAAAGGAAAAAAATACGATTGAATGGCTAATAAATTGAAAATGGATACAAATGGTTATATTACTGATACGAATTTAGTTTTGTTTCTAGTAATAACACAAATATTAAGGTTAATAGGTTGTACTAGCTATTTCAGGATTGAAAAGAAATGACTCTAACTTAAGCACATAACAGTAACAACTAACCTTAAACGAGAAAATCTCACTAATGATGATAACAGAGACGGGTTGCAAACCCGAGGAGTCACAGAAGATGCAAATGCACAACGTAGCCAGAGGCAACCAGCTTGCAGCGTCTATTCCTTGCGATTTCACTACGAACCAAGATGCTAGAGCACACATACTGAGACCCGAGATGATGGCTGTTACGTAAAGAAGTACCTGTAAGTAATTAATATTTATAGACTGTGAAGCTGTTTGGAATCGAAAAAAGGCATACCAAACTGATTTGAAAATTGAATATTTTATCATGTTTCTGTATAACTGGACGAATATTATTATAAATTAGTTGGAACTACACTTTATTTTAAGGTTTCTAAATGTAAAAGTTACTTTAATGCCCGATGTTATTTAATATAATATATAATACTTCAATAATTTTGCCTTTCAGGAAAGCTTTTGCTGGTGATTTTATAAAACAATTTTCTACAAAAGAATAATTCTTGGTAAATTCAGCCAATCAGAGGCAAAATTTCATTCACAGAAATTTCGTCAATGTTTACGTAAATTGTACATTATGGTCAAAATTTGTATCATCATCTCTTACCTTTCTTCCAGCCTTCTCAACTACACTGGAACCTAACATAGATCCAGTGACCTGTATGAGACCAAGCATCATAGCTTGCTGGTTCGGAGTTAGCACAAAATTATTTCCTGTAGACGCTGTCGCGAAGATGTCGCCGGCGAAATTGAGGACTGGTATAGCGCCACATACCTCGCGAGCTAGAGCTGCGATGATGGCGATTTTAAACGCTCTAAATAGTATTTTGTCTTTTACTGAAACAATGAAAATTACAGACGCGATTACTCCAGCATTTATAAACCAATTTTAATGATTTTTTTTGTTGGAAAGAGGGTCTTTACTTGTAGTCTCATTTAAATTTGAAGAGTATATTCCACCTCTAAGGGTGGTAAACTAGGGGAAAAATGAATTGGTTTCGCGCACTTTCCGGTAACCGATTTCAATAAAACTTGGCAAATATATACCTGCTCACGCGATGCGCTCATCCTACCGCAAAATGGCGGCTATTCGCAAATTAGAAAAGGACTCAGTTTAAATACAAGTTTTTAAAAATAAAAATTATTATTCTGCGTTGCTAAATAAATACCATCCGTACTACAACAAAAACATCTCAAATAAAATGCAGTAATACACTGCAAATCCTGCACTTAAAAATCACTAATGAAATTTTTGGTGTACTTGGGTAAATATGATAATATTCCGTTTGAGTGGTTCTAATGTTTACCATGAAATTACTCCTTAAAGTATAGTTTATAAAGTAACTTACGGTATGTTTTCAATAAATAAACACCGACATCACCAGCCCAAACAATAACACGCACGATTGTCGTGACGTATTTTTGAAGTTGTTTATTTTTTTTAAATGACAGACCCAGGCATTAAAAACTTTATGGTTTGCTAGAGTACTTACTGAAATAGCAATTAGTATTAGTTCTTTTACCTGTTATAATTTCGATATCCGATAAATCGATATAAAACCATCACCGGCACCTCTAGGTGTGGTATGCTTCCAGAGAAGCATGAATCGCGTGAGCGGATAATAGTTCCACGAACTTTTGAGATCGTTTTTTTTTTAATAAAAAGTTATGATGGTGGATGGTTGTGGCCTGGAGGTGAGTTCATAAGCGCTTATCAGTTTTTAAATTTAGTTATACGAGGAAATAAAATATACTGCGATTTCCATTCACGCTATAGACAATAAAACTTATCTACAATTTAATAAAAAATATTAGCAGATATTAGTGTGAGAACAATTTATTTTGCAACTAATTTTGGTACTGACTTCGAACAAACACTGAAAACAATTCCTGCTATCCGACTTACCTCGAAACAGTGTCGCAATAGACTCGATCTATAGCTCAGTTAGTAAGATATATTAATTATTTAACCGACTTCAAAAAAGGACTTCCTAAAAAGGAGTACCTAGTGAGTTCCACTCAAATTTACAAAGACATTCCACATTTAAGGGTGAGGCCAGACGAGCGTAATTGTGTGAGTTGAGAGTCGCGTAGTTTGCGTTCGATTGAAATTCGGTTGGGGCGTCTGACGAATCGGCAGATGTGAGTCGGCAGACAGCTCATTTTGCGTCGTCGTGTGGCGTAAACAGGACTTTTATACCAAACAGAATGCAGCGTATATTGCTCAACTAAAATAAAGCAACTCGCAACGTAACATTACGTTCGTCTAGCCTGATCCTCAGGGTGGCAAATTAGGGGTTAAATCCAGTTTATTGCATTTCACCCGCATTCCGTTAATCGAGTTCAATAAAACTTGACACAGATGTCATTCTAATGGAAGTAAAATGTCGTGGTGAGGTAAATCTGATTTGAAGATAGAGAAGATAGAAATGGTAGACAGATGAGAGGAACTCCTTATCAGTGTACAGCAGCTACCTTGTGCTTGGACTCATATTATTTGAGTAAATCACCGAATCCCTAATAAGGTCATACGTCAGATATCTCAAGTGACCGACATAGCTCGCAAGATCAATAAGCTTGAGTGGTAGAAGGCCGGAGGTTTGATGGCCGATGGAGTAGACTTGTTCTAGAGTGGCGACCATGTCAAGGAAAAAGAAGTGTAAGACGCCCTGCGGTAAGATGGGCGGATGATCTGAGAAAGGTGGCTGCGACTTTGATGGATGGCACAAGACTGGGGGAATTGACTAGCTTAAGGGGAGGTTTACGTCCAGCAGTGGATGCGTGTAAGCTGACGATGATGAATAGATCACGGTAATGAAGACAGCGTTAGCGGAGCTAACTTTTGAGGTCGTTTATTTTCAAAGGTTATGATTTTATTATTCGGATCTAAAGTCAGCTGTAACTATGAGACCTGCAGGTAAATTCAGAACCTCCCGATTCGATTAGATATCGTACGATTTGTTTTCATTTTTATTCACAATAACCGAATCGAACGTCAAACTGTCGTATTCGAAACCGAACCGAAATGACGTCACACCTGTACGATTACTCATACTTCTCAACCGGCAAAGGCTACAAATCTTTTTCAGAACGCAGTTATCGAATGAAAGTTACCAAACGTCCTATTCTTTACAAAACAAGAATGTAATAAGAAAATCTTTTATTATTTTAAATAAAATCTGGATTTTGTTCAATTTTATTAATTTATTTTAATGCGAGACTAATGCATTTCTATATTTTAGGCCTTTAAAGTCTTAAAAATGTATATAAAAGGAATTCATTTATCTTATAATCTATATTTGCCGACTAACTCCATAAACGTTGTTGGATAACGATATCGTATCCGAGTCCTAACCGAATGTTTTATCTCGAATGTTCTGAATAGCTCGGAAAGCGTCTTTCGATTCGAGAACAGTATCCAATCGAAGGATTCGGTTAAGATATCGAAGAGTTCTGAATCAGGGTCCTTGCCCTGTACTCTCGTTCTTCGTCTGAAACAATTGCCTTGAAATAAATAATACTTGACGAAATTAAAAGAAGCATGATGCAAATGAAGCTTCATACATGATATTATCTTTAAATTTTGTCGAGTATTACGTATCTGACAGTAGGTTATTGTTTCGGATGGATAAAGAGAGTTGACCCCCAGTAAAGGGTTCGAAATGGTATTTTGTTATTAAGCAATAGCGTATATTTATTTTATAACAAACTAACATAACGGATCTAAAGATGCGAATAAATTTTGGTGCATCAAAGAGTCGCATCGTATGACACTGGCAATGTGAGGCGTCTCTAAAGCGACAATAATGGTAATTATAGTCCATTTCAATAGGAATAATTCCGGTGACGTTTGAAATTTGAAGTTTCTAGAGACGTAGTGATGTACAATCGCATGAAAAAAAATCGATTTAAATATCTTATCGAGATAATTTGTAACGAAGAGGAAATCGATGTACTGAAAATAATTTAAGTACAACTAATGAACAAAGTAATTGTGTAAATATCTATGTATAAATATTTCGTTTCATATATTAAGTAACTAGGGTAATTCATGTTGTGTCTAACCCCAAAAACTACACAACCAAACAAAAAGTCAACAATAAAGCTTAAAATTAACAGCAACGAAACGGAATTTGAACAATTACTCCAAAAAGATCACGCAAAGCTAAAAACCAAATAAAATCCGCTAATAAGGTATGTAAATGCCTCGTATTGACGCGAGTTACACAAGAGCCGATTCGATTCATCGATTCCATGGTGTAAATCTCTATGGATTAATAATCCGTTTCACGCATCAAGCAGTTGGGATATTTTATTTTTATATTTATTATTTCATTTTATATCTACGTAATATACCACAATTTTTACTTAAAATTACAATAAATTTTGTTTGATTTTGGTACATTATAACAAATTTACTATTTATTTTTGTAGCCTGGTTGACAGATTAGTTATAAATTGTATGCGTGCAATCATTGACTTACAAATAAATGGACGACGGGTCTAATACAAAAACCACAAAAAAATGTCCCAAGTCAACCTATTTAAACGTAGTGACATGTAAAGGAATATGAAAAAGTTAAAACGTTGAATTTAAATTGTAATGTCATCGCAGTACTGTCTAATTTTGCTTGCTTCGCTGTCAGTCGAACAAACGAAGACTAAAGCGTGAATGACGCTCTGTATACGATTTTAACGCCCTATAAGTTCGGACATTTTTTAGCGCGGACCCGACGTCCATATAATTGTAAGTCAATGCGTGCATGGACGCTATTGAAATGGACTATAGACCATTTATTTTTGTGGTAAATTTCAAACTCTGAACTCACTTTATGACTGTGTGTTACCAAGGTGTGTTCAACGACGTTGTTCTTCGTTTACAATATATATATCTATCTAAGTACTTGCTAAAAGATATCAATATCTCGAGTAATTGTTTTTTATGTCAATAAATCATTGTCTCGTTTATTTGATTATTTGATAAGAGCATTATAAAGAAGCCTCTATTCCTTTAGTATTGGAACACGCATTAAACATTTTGCACCCCTTTATCATAAAAGATAATGTCATGTCTACTGACTATTGCACATCTTAATGTTACTTAATGTTATTTATAACTACGTTATCTTTACGTTGTGTAAAGATAGATAAAAGATTAAACATTTACTATATATACAAACTTGTCAGAAGTTAATAAACATTAACAACAATAACATTTATTATATTCTGTGAAACCCATATGTTGTGTGCATTGACCTATGTTTTGTTCGTAGGTCATTGACTTACAAATAAATGGACGTCGGGTCTAATACAAAAACCACGAAAAAAAATGTCCCAAGTCAACCTATTTAAACGTAGTGACATGTAAAGGAATATGAAAAAGCTAAAACGTTGGATTTAAATTGTAACGTCATCGCAGTACTGTCTAATTTTGCTTGCTTCGCTGTCAGTCGAACAAACGAAGACTAAAGCGTGAATGACGCTCTGTATACGATTTTAACGCCCTATAAGTTCGGACACTTTTTAGCGCGGACCCGACGTCCATATAATTGTAAGTCAATGTCGTAGGTCAATGGTTGTGGCCTATATTTTTATCATTAACTAAATCGATTTCACCTGTCAAAATATATTTCGATACTTTCCCGAGTAAGTTGTTGTAAGTCAAAATATCTTCTTCTTTTTTATGCATATTATAGTTTCATATTTAAAAGTAAAGAAATCATTTAGAATTATTAATACAAAGATCGAAGACTTAGAAAAAATCCTACGATTCGGCCGGATTCGAACTGACGTCTCCTAACAAACCGTGCCAGACGCTATACCAACTAAACCACGGA